GAACACACACACACACACAAACACACACACAGACAACCCCGTGACGATATGCGTTTTGTAACGCTGTTACACGGCACAAAACGCATAACAAATGACTGATGAAATAAACGTCAAGGTCACCAGTGGCTAACCACCAAGCAAAGCAATATTGGCCAAAGCAGCTAGAGAAATTGTCAGATGCATAATTTTGGAATCAGAATGTATTTATGCATATATATATATATATATATTTCGGCTGTTCGAATTATCAAAGCAATTTATAATAAATAGTCAGTACTATGAGTGGTGGCAAGCGTAGCAAACAAACTCGAGCTGTTCGGGCTTACTGTTGGGATGGTTTTCGCTGTATCATTTTGCAAATTTTCCATGGTTTTCGCCGAAACAAAAGTTACATTATTATACAATGGTTTGTTGGTGGTACTATTGTTTGGCCGTAAATCCAGAAAGACGAAAGCGATCCAAGCGAGGGCAACAACGATGATCAGCACCGCCTGACCAAAGTACACGTATCGAACCAGCTTTCTTCTGTTCTGTTCACGAATCTGAGGCAAATTGCTCGACTGATTGCGCTGCTCGACTGTGGCCTGCTCAGCCTGGTTAATGTTACCAGTGTCGATTGCTGATACCGCTGTTAATGATGCTATCGTTGGCGTACGTACAACAACAGATGGCCTAGATGCAGTTTGGCGTTGCCTAAAAAGGCTCACGTTATATATGTTGAATAGGGTTCATTTCTTTTCTCTTTCCGTTTTGTCCAATAAAATAGCACTGCAACCACCGTGCAACGCTGAGCTCATGCATTCACAACTTAAGGCATTGAAACGTTTTATATCCTACTAACCTAGTTTACGTCTGTGCCAACCTTGCATGCACTTTGCTTTCCAACGAAAAGAAAAGTGATACGTATATTAATCAGAACCCTATCCGTATTTCCATCCAAGCGAGAGGCGAAAGCACTCATGAAGTAGCCTGGGTGGTAGCAAATGTCAACAGAAACCACCGGCGACAAGGCTTCGATGGCTGGCTTTTCTGAGGGTTGCTTACAAACAAGTTGATAACGGGTTCGACTCCCTGGCATATGGCACTATGAATTTACCGGCTCGAATATTGGTAACATTAAGAAAACGTGTAGCTATGATTAAACTATATCATCTCCTTTTTGGTGTGGAAAGGCAACAGTTCGAGACGAGTTGGTGATGCTTGACGTATGCCCAGAGAAATTCAAACGATTGGTTGTCAAAAAGTCATGAAATAAACGTCAGGGTCGCTATCATGCTGACCAGGAGATGAAATATCATTTATCAAAGCAATTGGACAATTGCTAGGTGCGTAGCTGGAGAAAATTTCAGTTGATGCAAATATTCTAAGTCGTTCAAAACTCTCTCCTTATCGACTTTCTTTAACAGGCGGAAGCACCAGAAAGCATTTCTGGAGCAGTTCTGTCACTCCCGGTGCTTTAGCAGAATCTATGGGTTTTCGATTAGTAA